CTTCTTTAAAATATTTTTACATATCTACACATTGTATTAGGTGTACAAAAATCCAGTTTGTTTTTTTCCAGTTGTGATGATTTTTTGGTAAGAAAACAGATTTTCAACTTAATATGTTTTTAATGTACAAGTATCAAGTCTGCTTGGAGTAATGTACTTCAACATAATCTTTGAATGTTGAAGTAATTTTATTTAGATTGATTGCTAATTATTACATATTAAAGAAAATATTACTATGCTGTTTTGTGAAAAATACTTAAATATTTAAGGTGAGTTTCAAGACTGTACTCATAACGTGTGAAATGATAAAGTGGTCGCAGTATTATTCTCACCTTCGTATAGTACCTAACACTGCAAAAGACATCCTTTTAGTACTAGCAAAGCAGGTATTGATGGTAAAGCATCCCAAGAAGGAATAAAGATATAAAAGGGGAAGTGCAGCTGCGTAGCTGGGAGATAATGCATGCTAATAACACAATTTATATACAATATAAACAGGATTAATGAAGTGAAATGGACCGAGTGGAAAACACATGTTTCATTTATTAATGAAGATCCAGGGCCAACAGGTACTACAGAATTTTACAACTCCATATTTGTGAAATCTTTTTTTTTTCCTTAGAAATGCTTTGATATAGTTTTATACCTTTAAAAATATAAACTCTCATAATCTAGATATTCAACCACACTTTACTGCTAGGGAAGCTCATGGCTGATATGGTAGGGGCGTTAAATTATTTTTAAAGACTTGGAGAGAGGGTTGGTTACAAACTCTCATTATTTACCTCTTGGCAACAAAATGTGGTGGTTTTACCTTTTCTTTATTTTTTTTTATGCTTGATCTAAGTTTTACATTCTCTTATGGCATTTGAATGGTATAAGGCCAGACAACTTCTTAATAGACAGAAAATATTATTTTGAAAAAGTTGTCATAAAGTACATTTAGTCCTAAGAGTTGCATACAGGATTGCAAAATCTGGCAAGAAATCGGACTGATTCTACCTGACAATACTCTAGTCTGCTGTTTTTAACCCTAGAACATTCATGTTTATGTTTTGCAATATATATTAGATGACAAACTGTCCCTCATGAATGTTGACCAGGAAATTCAAGATACCCATCTGCTGACCGCGTTGGAAGTGTAATAGAGACCTAACTTTGAGGTGTCAGATGTCCTTCTGGCGGCCATCGTCAGAGTTTACGATGGGGGCATATGAGGATCTGGGAGACTTGTTCTGAAGCTTGTTCTCGAGTCAATTAGCATTTATATTGCTTACTAGAATGATCTCAGTAATAATGAAAAGGGGCAGAGAGAAAAATTTCTGCATAAGATATGGTAGCAAACTGACAACTTGCTCTTTAAATAAGTGCATGGGTTTTTTTAACGAAAAATAAATGTGCAAAAATTTCATCTTGCATATACAGTTTCTACCATATGCTGTTGTGTTTATAATGCATTCTTTTGCAGATCCAAGCAAAGTTCAAGATAATTCCAGAACTAATAGCAAAAACACCCTGAATACGTTTGAAGAAACATTTGAAGAAATGGATGATTTGCCTGAAACTTCTGTTTAGTTGTGCTGTATTTGATATGTGGTCGTTCTGAAGGTTAAAAGCATCAGCAGTGGATGCTGAAAGCTTTGCTGGTATTTTGGACAGCTGTAACCAGCTGGAACACAAACTTTCAGTGACATGGTCTGATGACTTTAACCTATTTAATCAGGGCAGCTAAGCTAAAATAAATTGGACTATTTCACTGGTTCAGTTTTGAGCCTCTTGAAAACCATTGCTGTCCAAGTTTGCGTGACGCTACTCGAACTTGGCTCTAGACTTTTTACTGGATAAAAAAGGTCAAATGTGAGATATTTCTTCCTTTTGTGGAAAATTAAGATCATCGTGATCCCAGTGTACTGTTTTTTGTTTTTTTTTTTTGGAATCTCTAACCCATGAGAAATATTTTGTATGCTGAAAAAAGTTAAGTTCTTGTCGTGGAGAAAAGAAAGGCATTTCAATTCTGAATAGTACTAAATGAAGTATGTTATTTTGAATTAACAATATTCTGGATACATTTGAAGCTTTTGTATTGACTGTCAGTGTTATTGGAGGCTTCATCCTGCAAGCTGGAGAAAGCCTCTTCATTAGCTTTGCCTGATCTGTCTTCCTGTGTGTAATCCCTAGGGTATAACGTGGTGTTTATTGCTTTTTATTTATTACTATGTATACATGCCTTCCCATAAAATAATAGGGCAGAAACATAATTCATGGTGGAGAATATTTCTGAGTTTGTTCCAGTCACAAGGTCTTTACTTTTCCTACTCAGCTTTTCCATGCTGTTGCATCTTGCTGCCTAAAAAAAAAGTTACCACATCAGAAGTTCTTTGAGTTTAAAAGTAAATTAATTTCTGTATTCAACCACTTCAGGGAAATACAAAGTCAGTAGTCAATATTTCTTCCCAAAATTAACAAAATAAGTTAAATGCAATGCAATTGCAGACTTTTAAAGCTCTTTTTTTTTTTTTAATTCTGAGGACTCTGTAATGCATTTCTGTAGCACTTTTAGTGATGACCTAGTACTATGAATGATATTTTTAGTTTTCTATTTTATGTGTATATATATATAAAAAGAAATATTTGTTCTATGTACTTTTAAATTTCAATTAATACATCACGTATTTTCAGTGTCATGGGTTTTCATCATATATTAATATATCATATCGTGTATTCATTTGGTGCCTGTTTTAAAGGTGCTATTTAGGGAAGACTCAGGTGAATTCTGTTCTGCATTTGATAATATGAATTGCATTGGATTCTTACAGCTAAGCCTGCTGTGGGCAAAATGATCCAAAAGACTTTCTTAACACAGAAGAGAGCATGAGGGAACTCTCCAGCGGAAAGGATAGTGCAAAGCTATTTGCAGGGATGGTGAACGTGGTTCTTGCTACCCAGCTGCTCTTCTATAGATGCCGTATCCTGTGTTTCCTACAACGGATGCCTTGGATGGATGGGATCAAACGGAAATCTTCAATTCAGTTATGGTTTTACAGGGCACAGGAATTTGAGGGGAAGGACACTTATGAGTATCAATAGACCAATGTACTATCTGAGCTTTTTTTGGCCTTCTTAGGAAGATATGTGAGTATAAGAAGAAAAATTCCTGTGGTCTTGGAATCTTTCATCTTTGCTAGTTAATTCTGCATTAAAACTGCCAAGAAAGAATGTTGCCTTAGGACTACACAGTTCCGTTTGGATTCTTCTGAGTGCCAGTTTTTCTACAAAAAAAATTACCTCTTCACATATACTCAGGAACCAGAATAAACTAGCCTGTGCTGCACTCTGTGTTGCTAGGGGTAGGCTTGTCACTGAAAACAAGTTTGGATATCTGTGCTGTACTGAGGTCACTCTGTAGGTGTAGCCATAAAACAGGGAAAGCACAAAAAAAATGTAAGGAATGTGCTGTGCCAATGTCCAGGTACAAAACTGTATGATAAAACTGAGGAAGAAGCTGGGCTGTTGTTTCTAAAAGTTCTTCAGTGAGAAAATACCCTCCTTTTGTGGCCACAGACACATACTGTCTTCTGTCTCAAGGGTCTTATCAAAAACACTATGAATAATGACTAGAGCAGATAATTATGTACTTTTATACAATGTTTATTTAAATATAAAGAATTAAAACTTGTAATTCAATAAAACATTCTGTCCTGTGTTTATTTTATTGCCATAGGAGTTACACAAAGCAAGGAAAAAAAATTTTGGCTTAGCAGTGGGTAAGGAAGACATCACTTTTCAAAGGATATAGTTTGGGGGTTATCTAGACAATGCATCTTTTAGTAAATAGATAATTATTGTATCCTTATGCAAAGTTCTTCATGTTTTTTTTCTGTCCCTAATGATTGTCAACTATGTTTAAAACAACAACTTTAGAAAATTAATTAAATACACATTTTCTTCTCTTTTTCAGCTACTATGACAGGCTTTCTCTCTACACATACAGAAACAAGTCAGTCTCAGCATTCTGAGAAGTCTCCCCATATGGAATTCTTCTTAGTTTCCATTCTGAAATACTCAGGTATGATTTGTGTGTTGCTCTTCATTGAAACCTGAGTAATTACCTATCTTGCCTTCTTCATTGAAAACGTTTGGCGTATAAGAGTTGATTAAAATTTTATTTGGAAAATGTTATAGGCAATAGGTGGATACACTAGAAAGTTAAAGCTATACATTTCTCTTGTCTCCACTGCAATAGAAATTTTCTTCAAATGTTTCCACAGAATAAGCACATCTTCTTCTTGAAGCTGAATATTACTCCAACATGTTTCTGACTACTAGATACTTTCTAAATTTAAACCTTTTTGTCTTTAAATTTGTGTTAAATCAGAAACAGTTTGAATTAATCTTGTAATACTTTAAATTTTAAAATCTTTACATTTCATTTTAGTGTATTCTTCTCAGAAATCATATGGTTTCTAGCTTATTTTGTATCTTTATAAGTATAAAAAGAAAAACAAAACAAACCCCACAAGGCTTCCACTTCAGTGTGGTAGGGGTTAGTCACATACGCAGATAATACAAAAGAATTTTAACATACACACCCTCTCTCTGTTTCTCACCCCCTAGCTTTTCCTTTGTCTCACATTTTGTATGCTTATGCAAAGAATTCGTTTCAAGGATCACCCCATTTTTAAAAAGTTAGTTATTGGAGGTTAGGGGCTATAAAGTAGAAATGCTGGAATTTTTTTATATAATATAGTTTTGTGGATTAGCATCTTTCTATATGATGCTGGATATAAGTTTTATAGATGCTAACCCATATGTGGTACATTATTTAATCATATTATATATTGTGAACTAACAAACTTCATTAAAATATTTATTCTTTTCAACCATAGTAATCTATTAGAACAAGTAAACAGTAGTCATAATTAGTATTATGACAGTACGTGTCATCTTAAAAGTGCAATGAAATTACAATTTAAAATTGTATTCTGCGTTTATTTGTTCCATGAACTACTACTGAATGACGCTGGATTCACAGAGAAGAAATCCACTTTTTGTATGGAAAATCTGTAATAAGCTTTTAAGAACTGTTCTGGTCTCAGACTGAGGATCTGATATGTTTTGCAGTGAGCTTCATTTTTACTGTTTTTACAAAAGCTTGTTTCTTTTCATAATATGCAGCTTCATTAATAAAAGTTGGATAGACTGTACAGTCCCCTTTATATGCGATTACTTCTCCATCAAGAGTCAAAAACAGAGGATCACCATTGTTCAGTGGCTGCCAGTCCTGATCCTTAGAGAAAGAAAATGAATAGGATATATTTACTTTCAAGTTTTTGTATATTCATGTGATTTCTGAGTTTATGCTCAATAATTATATTCTCTGCAGTTTATGGCAAAGGCTTTTAAAAGAATTCCTTTTAATCTTCAGTACTTAATTTCAGGTGTTTGGCCCTCGTTTTCAGGCCTGTATAGAATTTGCTGGTAAAGGTGTACTGAAAGGAAACTGCATATGCTCACCATTGATTAAAAACACTCTCACTTTAGAAATCAAAATTAGATTTACATTTTAGAATATAAGATATCCCATTATCTTTTTCTTTTCAGTTTTAAGTTCAAAAGTGTTTTTAGATTCAGTGATTCCCGAGTCAGTTACTGAAATACTGTGTGACCTTAGTGATAGAACCTACCATAGGGAAGGTCTGAAGTATTCAGTAAACCCCTTGGAAATATTGTAATTTTAAATGTTTACTATTAAAACCTACTACAGTGTAGAAGAAGCAACACAGGAATACTTATAAAAGTTCATAAATAGAATCTATTTTAGAATTTACCTGCAGTTTAGGGTGAATAATAGCAATAACTTCATCATTCTTATTCCTGGGATAATCTACTCTCTCCATTATTTTAAAAACCTCAATTGTACACGGTGGAAATTCCTTTCCTAGAAAGAATAAATGTAATTTAATGGCGAAATGAACAACTGCCTGTTAAAAAGAACAATGCATTATTTATTCTCTTTAGAACGGCTTAAATCACTAGGTTGTACCTCAAAGTTTACACACTAGTGATTAGCTCATCTGTCATAAAAATGTCTAGCTCCAGACTTGTCCCCTCAAAGCCAAGTTGCAGAAAGATTGCCCAGTCATGTATTGTAGCATATAGAGCCCCCACGTAGATTTCATGCTGAAATGTGACTTTTCACTGTATACTTAAAAATATATATTTTGAAGGTGAAGAGATCAATGAAGGGCCTGTGTTTGATAGCACTGCACAACACAGAATGGTTTCAGTGGTATTTAGTGTTTCCTATTCCAGCACAATAATGGAGATTTTGACATGCACAATGACATTCTTTTCCTCCTACTTTCAGAAAGCCCACTGACAAAATGTACTCTAAAAGAATTTTAAACACCTATTTCTGTCAGTATTTATTTTAGATAATATACATGTATAACAAAATCTTACAGAATTTATTGACTTATTTTAAATAACATTGCACAGAAGGCATGTAAATTAAACACTTCTTTCTTAGTATTAATTTATGCATGTTCTTCATGTACATACTACCATACAAATATTGTGAGCTAGTATTTCAGATTCTCCAAGGAACTGTATGATTAAGATCAAGTATACCTATTGAATCTTCAGAAATATCCCTAAAGCTACCCAAAGGAGCTATACAGGAATTCTGACTTTCTGATGCCACGCTTAGGTGGTCTAGAAAACAATCCCTCTCACCCCCACCTTTTACCTGTTTAACTGTAAAATGTTGTACCCCAACCTATTTTTTTTTTTAATATTCTCCTGCAATAGTCCACTGATAGGACACAGGAGGCTATATTCTTTCATTACTTACTCTACCTTCATTAAAAAGTTGCACAAAATCAAGGCCATGTTTGACAATCTTCCTCATTTTGTCCAAAGTATCAGCTCTAACAACACCTTGTGGCTGGGGACCCACCTCCACACCTGTTTGCAGATGAGGCAGATTATTAATAGAGCAATAATATATCACATGCTTAGATCACACAACAAAAATAGATGTCTGATTAGGCCTGTGTTTTATGTTTAAGAGGAACTGTAAAGTACAGAGTTATGTGATTTTTAAGGCAAGCAGAAAATTTAGCTCACCAGTCAGGATCAGTTTAAAGAACCATATGTACGTTTCCGAGTGTGCTACTACAGTAAGAGAAAAGGTCACTATATGTATTTGTTTCTCTTATTCTTTTCATCATCCTATCTTTCCATGCTGCATTTTAGAGAACTCATTGTTTAATATGAAAAGCAAACTAATGATTTTTATTTCCTGTGGTTATGGTTTTGATTCCATAAATGAAAAAGTTAACCACTTCCATGCAGAACATCACTTCCTTTATCACATCTTCTCTTTCTCTCTTGGCTAACAACCAGTGTTTCAGACAATGCTTGTTTAGAGAATGTAAACGCTTCTTTTCTGAAGCTGTTACTTCTTCCTTATCCTCAGATATTATAAATATTTTCTGCAAACAGTGGGTTAACTGAGTTTAATAATATCCATCTGGCTTCTGTATTTTGTAAGCCAAGTATAAATCAGAACTCTTCAGAGGAATCATAGAATCATATACATTTGATTTGATAAACATATTGTCAAACAAATAGCTACTGTTGATCAGAGCACTCTATAACATAATGAAATGCACAGATGTGGAAACAGGCATATTTTAAATAGTTTATGGTGGATTAAAATAGTCTTTATTTTTCATATTTACCAACAGGATGTTTTGCTACAGATCGAGTTGTTGCATATTTCAAGCTAGGATGTTCAATCAGCAAAACAGGACAGCATTCTGGAGCCAAAGCGTTCTGTGGAGATTGTTTAAAAATTTCTTTGTTATGCAAATATTTTAAAATGTTGTGCCACAAAAGATTACTGATGCAGAAGTGATTTACACAATGTCTTCAATATGTTGCCTTTATTTCATGGCCCTCAAAGAAGTAGGACATCTTTAGAAAACACACAAAGCCGTATTTGTTGGTTTCCTTTCCATTAACTCATGCCAAACATGCTCCACTGAACTTTGCTGTCTCCTAATACAACTGAACACAGTTCTAGTCTTAAATTGCTAACAGGAAGAAAAATCTAACCAAAACTTAGAATCAAAATATTAAAAAGCAGATTTCAAGTATTTTTTTGTGTTAGACTTAGATGTTCTTATGGGGACAAGATTGTGATTTAAGCCTTACTTTATCCTTTTTTTTGACATAGAAAGCTATTCAGGCCTCTTTCCTTTTTTTTTTGCCATTGCTCTTCATATAATTGTAGTCATAAGATTTCTACATCTTCAAATATTTTATAAATATTTAAATGGGATACAGGTAAGAAAAAAATCAATTGTTAAAATAGACCTTGTTTCTAAGAAAAAAAAAAAATTCCACACTGTTGGCCTAACCTCAATTTCATCAGTCATTGTCTAGATCACTAGTGCTTCAACCAGATCACGCTGAAGGCAGCACTTTTGCAAACCTCACTCTACCAATACTCATCAGCTTCAGGAACAGCAGAATCAAACAGCTTCCAAAGACATAGCACTATTCCTGTAAACACTGATGAAGGGAACATTTATCATTACCTAGTTTCATTATTTTTTACGTGTCTCTATTTCATAAAATTACTGTTTAACTATTTAGCATGTGTGACCCAAATTTATCCAAGTTCCTGACAGATCAGTGTGAAAGCAGATTAAATTACATTCATTTTCATAAATGATATTCTAAGCCTTCCTCTTTGCCCATCAGTCTTACTAGCACTCATTTTAATATATGAAGATTATGATGAGTTCAAATCTGAATTACCTGATATTTAATCAGAGATAATTAATAATTTGATTATAAAGAAACTAACCATGAGTTATTAAATATTTTAAACATTTTTGCAGAATAAAAAAAAGTATATATTTTAAGAAACTACAAAATAATATATAGTAATACAACATTACAACTAATAATCTATTTTAATAGTTCATTTAAATTAGTTTTACCTTGATATAATGAAACATTTGAATTGTAAAGTCATCCCTGGAGTTTTCAAGAATAAGGGTACCACCCATGTTAGAAGTGGTGTTGTGAAGGTCAAAAATAAGGTCATACGCATCATCACTACCTTTTGGGCCAAATATATGATTGATTTCCTGAGCCCTTCTCACTTCATATGGAATATCTTCCACCACTGTCCTGCTGTTAATATCAGTACAAAGAAATTAGTAAACTCATTCAATGGCTGTGCAGTCAACAAAATATGTATACCCTTTTCTTTCTACTTTAATTCCATAATTCACTGGAGTTGAAATCACCTATTTAATTACCAAACTGTTAAAACTTGATGAATTTGTGCTTTAAAAAAGCAAGTATGATTGTCAAACAGGTCTTACTGTTGTGTATCTTGTGAAGAAAGGTAGTAAGAATTTTTTGATCTGATTTTAGCTGGAGACCATTTCCTTCTCTCTTTGTTCTTTACATCCCCAAATTTCCCCCTATGCAGAAAACTAACTCAGAATTTATCATCAACTTGAACCACCTCCAAGACTGGATTTTTTTTGAAGACAGTATTCAGATACTGGTCCATGCCTTTTTACCTTGCACATCACTCTCAAGATCTTTTGTAACTTGCTTTATTTCTTGTCTTTTCATACTCTGGTCAGGCTTTTACAATCTATTGTTTTGAGCCCTCCTGACCCTCAAAGCTCGTAGAGGATCTTGCTTCCTCAACTCTATTCCTCCAGAGTTTTAATACTTGTAGTCTCAGGTGGCTATGTCTGTACTATACTTTGAAAAAATGGTCTTAGCCTAAGGAAAGGTCTGAGATCTGCTTCCTGTCTGTGTAAGGGCTCTATAGGAACCTTCTGTATGACACCAAAATATCTCTCTTACAAATTAACAGCATACAAAACTGCTGTAGGTTCAGGCTTGTTCCACATAGACAGCACATCTGGTTTTGATGACAGGCTTGGGATAATACCCAAGTACAATATAGAAACATACAATATCTTTTGTACTAACTTCAGGTTTTTTTCTCAATACAGCTCAGGCTTGGTAATATTTTAATTTTGTAAGAAATACCAGTATTGAGTTGTATAAAGAAGGGTTTGTTAAATACTAACAAAACACTTTCATAACTGCATGGGTATTTAAGCATCAGAAGAGGTTGCTGAGGAAAATTATGGGATCACCAGTGCTGGAGTATAAGAAATGGTAAGACATACTCTGTTAAAAATGTCTTCATGTGTTGATCTACTGCTGGGACGTGAGGTAGGTTAGACATGGCTTAGAATTTTTATATGAGCCCCTCAAGCTCCTTTTTCTAGTTTTATGATTCTGTATGTTACATAATATACCCTTGTATTCTTTCATTCTGTCTTTGAAATTCAAGGTTTCTTCACATAAGACCCTCAAATACTAAGCCAATGGGACTCCACTATTACTTTCAGTAGTATCAGGATTTCACTCTCCTTTTTCTTATTTTGTAAAATAATTTGTAATTTTGAAGGGTCTACACTTAAAGTGATCAGGTGAAGGTATTACAAACATTCAGTAGTGTTGTAATAGGGCAACTTGATAGGATTTACTAAGGAATATTAGCTAAAAAATGAAGACAACCTGCAGGTGTCTTAATCTGCTATTGTTTCAAGCGTCCTCTGTTCAAAGCAGCTGAAAATAAACAAAACTGCTTTTTTTTCCATACATTTATGCTAAGTAAGCAATTAAAAGAATGGCCTCAACACATGTTAAAAAGTCTATTTATCTTATGTATGATAATCAACAACAAAATTCTAAGATGAAAAGCCAGATGAAAAGATGTTCCAGGTAAAAATAACTATGCTTACAAAATATATGTGATACATATTTATTTCAGGGATATTCACCTTTACCATTAAGACCTTTCTGAAATATAATTGCCTGTTTAGCATGCAACTATACCAAGCATAAAAAACTTTATACAGCAAAGTACACCTCTGGAATAGATGTCTCAAAAGCAGAGAAACATAAAATCACATTAAAAATGTAAAATCAATTACTATTTTACAGTCATTATAGATTGTATTTCTTCTAAGATAATGAGTCAGTTAAATTGTTGAGACATTTTGGCTATCACTGAGCCATAGAATACATTATTTCTGACTTAGCCAATTTCAAGTTTTCATCTTTTACTGTATGTAACTGAAATTAAATACACTTCCCTGATTTGTATGCCATTCTTTCAGATACTCAGATGTCTGCATTTAAATTGCTTTTATCTGCTGTCTTCCTGCAAATATGATTGTATTCAGAAGAGCTCCAAAGCTGAATTGCACAAGAAGACACGTGGGAAAATAATGACTTTGCAACTCAGAACAGCAGTACTTAAATTTACACAAATACAGCTAATCTAATACTAATTTTAAATGCTGTGTTTAAGATTATGTGTTGTTTTAAGACTCATTCTACTAGCAGTAGTTTTAGAATGAATCTGTTAACACTCATGCAATTTGTTCTTTTTGGGTTAAAGGTCAATAATTTCAGTTATGTGACTGCACAGTTAAAATAGTAGTGGAACTTGTGTTAACATTTTAATCTGGAAAGGAAGCTCCTTACAGTTTAAAAAAACAGAAAAGGAAAATAACAGAAAGGACAACTATTCTTACCCAAGATTATCAGGGTCAAAAACACGGTTCAGATCACAGTCAATGTATCTAGTACACTTCTTCACAGCTCTTGGGTTGGTAAGAAATGGTTTCACTTCCATTCCTGTTCTTTGAATTTCAGCTCCATTCTCTTGCCAGTGCTTGACCAAAAATACCCCTGATAACTCATTGCCATGAGTCCCCCCGAAGATAGCAACCCGTCTTACTGGAGGTTTATCAACAACAGAAGAGGAAGTCATGCTTTTCAGCAGCTCTAAGAATTGCTGAAAGCAAAACAGAAAATAAAGTAAAATTTTTGTCTCCAAAAAAAATATTCTTTTTTTTTTAATAGGAAATTCTTTAAGCCTGTTTAGGACAGATGTGAATGAAAGTGAATTAACACTTCTCTAACAGTTTTAGGCTCCCGTTGCGAGGCGGAGAGTTGCTAACTTGACACTCCTCCCTCTCGAGGAGGCCTCCCCTTCATTTACCGTATTTGGTAATATCTCCAAGTCTGTTAATGGTACTGTTACACAGATCAAAAGTTAACTTTTCCAGGCAATCTCTGTTAATTTATTATATATAGATAAATCTTGTACTAATGACAGCATGAGAAGACTTCTCTAATGTAAACTTTAATAATGCACTTTAATATCTCTGACAGTTTTGCATTGCCAACTAGGTTTAACAAGTATATTCATGTATGTCTGAAGTTACATGAACATTATGCAAGGGCAGAATTAGTTAAAGTGAGCAAAAACAGTAAAATATGAATCATATCTTGGCTCTAGATCAACACATAATGCTGAAACATTAAGTTCTTTCATCTAAAACAACAAGAACAGCTGAGTTCCTCAAAGCATGTTGTCGCTTGTATGACCTTTTTTGTTTTATAATATCTGAAGAACAGTGATTACAAGGAACACTAGCTAAAATTAAAGTGCAGTTTATTCAAACTGACTTACCTAGTATTCTTGGCTCTAGTTCTGCCTCAGATCTGCTAACAGAGACCTCTAACACACTGAACAATTTCGTCAGTGACAACCCTTCTAACTTCTGCAATCTCTTATTAAAAAGGAGACAGACATAGACCACAATGGGACAATTGTTGTGTTCTGCCCCTGAAAAAAACCTTAGTCAACAACTTGACTTCTTCCATTGCCAAAAGCATTCAGACAGGCTTCTGAAACTTAAGCCAAACAGCAGCCATAACTTCCGTCATGAGGATCAAAACATTTAGAATAAAAGGTCTTAATAAGAGAAAATAAGTCTTACTGCTGCAAACGACAGAAGTATTTGCAATTAGTATCTGACACGTGATATAAATATGAAAAAAGTTACATTGCAAGGGAATAAAGAATGTTTATTGAACAATTCAAAAATGATTATACCCTAATGACTTACAGAATATTTGGCTAGTGCTTGGGAGAGGCTTTATAACCCGGGCTGCTAGACCGTAGGTCTACAAAAAGGAAGCTAAACATAGGATTTATCTAGACAAATTATTCCAGGAATATATTTCCTACAAAAGTTGCTCTTGATGTTTCAGCTTATGCATACAGCTTTGCTGAACCTTACAGCGAGTTAACACAGAGAGACTGTTTACTTAGGCACTTAGCTGTATTACTGCTGTAGTCAGAAGCTGTCAGATCTTTAATCATAGTAAGTAATTTATTAAACAAAGCAGTAAAGTTGTATTTTACAGCACTGGACAGTCTGTACTGTCCTTTGACCCCAGTAGCTTTAGCGATGGTGCCAAAACTGCTCTTTACACGCTGCCTGAAAAAAAATGACTCACGGTCTGAATCTTGGTTTCCTGAATTTAAACACCACAGCAGTTTGAGGAGTAAACAGCAAAACGCAAATACACAGTTCTAGTACATATAGTTTATCCTGTATTGCTGGGGGTACTGTAATGGTTAGATTTCCTTGCAAAACGCTGAATGAAATACGGAGATCGTTGGTGCACTTACCTTATTTAACATGCAGGAAGTTTGTCTCCTAAGAAGAGCTTTCTTAGGACAGAGACAGTACATTTCCAAACACCAGTTTAGGAACTAAACCCCGAGCCTTCTTTTATACTCTTAGAGCAAGTTAACTTCCAAACAGCATTTAACTCCCGGTCTCCCAGGACATTATAAGCACCTGTGAATTTGCGGCATAAATGCAGACATTTTAAGATTTCACTCCTCTGAATTAAACCCTGGGACCAATCCCTTATTCCTATGTTTGCCAATGCTTACACACTTCAAAAAACTACACAGCATCATATTTAGTTTATTAAGGATTCAGGTTGGTTTTATGTGCTACATACAAGTATCTGTAGTATAGTGCATCTAGAACACGTGCCATGAGCTGAGAAACATATACAATAATAAAATGTAAATGAAATAAAGTCTAGCTATCAAAGCTACAAAGATGTATGTATAAAAAATGGTGATTGCAGAAAACGACAGGCTCCAATCCTGCCGAGGGCTGAGATTTTCCACAGAAACCAGTCAGCAGTCACACGGTTGAGAGCAGCCGTGTGTAAAACCCGGGACAGTGGCTGACGTGAAGAGCCTGAAGAGTGCAGCGAGTTTTATTTGTATCCTGTTTGTGTTCACACGTGCGGGGATTCAGCTCCTGTCCCCGGGTTCTCTAAGTGGTGAACATGACAGCACGTGGGCCAGCTCCACGAGTTCAGCGATAATTAATTAAATCCTCCAGGGAACCGATTTAATCGTTCCTGCGAGCCGCTCACCTCAGGACCGGCAGTTTCCACCCAGCCCGCTGCCAGCGCTCCCTGACTGCCGCCCTCCCGCAGTAACTGCTGCGCTGCCGCCTTTGAAGGGAGAGGGCGGCCAGCTCCTTCCCGCCCTTTTCTCTCTCCCGCAGGCGCGAGAGCGCGGCTCTTCGGTCCGTTATTTTTGGCGGGCTTTACCTCAGCCCTCTCCTTCAGACTCCAGCGAGGCGTTTCCTTTAGCCTGGAACCGGTGCTGCTGCTGCTGTGTGAAGCACTGTGGAGGCTGAGCCTGGTATCTCCTGTTCTCTCTCCTTAGCTTATTTTTTTCCACAGCTTTAGCTCTGGGTTTTGGTTTGCTCATTTTCAAGAGAGGGCGGAAAGCAAAATGATAGTCTAAAATCCTATGCAACACCAAAACTGGCTTCATAAACTGAAATGTCAAGTTTATTGGGTTATATTTTACAAGTGTGTCACTTACTGGTGACCATTAGGCTTTGAAGTGCTGGCAATATAGTTTAAACTGTGTAACAGCAGTGAGCTGGAGGCTGCTCTAGTGTTGTCACGCATGTAATTGATGTATCTCACAGAAATAAAGAGTAAATTGGTCTATTAGTCTAGCTGTGGTAGGTACTTGTGCTCCATTCTTATCAATATGTTTAATAGCTGCATATGGTTAACTATCAAATCAAAATCAATGTAGGGATAATGTCTTATTTACACACACAAGTAAGTGGTTTGACTCATATGCCACTGAAAGCAATGTGCACCTGTGACTAACTTTGACGTACAGCAACTAATGCTCCACAATAGTCTGTGCAGTATCCTCAATGTATACAGTAATACACAGACATTTACTATAAAGTAGTTTAATCAGAAAGCAAATATGGCAAAACACCTGTACCCTATATGGTAATATATGTTTCTTTTCATAATATTTGATTAATAATAACGATATTTTTTATGAGTAAGGTATTTTTTTGTATGAAGTAATTGGCTAAAAGTTTTAGGTCTGTACCCTAAAGTAGAGAAAAGTTTATTTTTTGAAGCATGATGCTATTTTTCACAGAATAGTTACATCAGCTTTTTATTCAAAGCCACGTACCTTGCCATCACACTTTGCAGCAATGTATAAATATGCCTTTTCTATTAGTATTCTATTTTCAGAAATTAAAAGTCTTTGTATTCAAATGTATATGTCCTTTTAAATTTGGGATTCAATTCCGTATTTTTAAACCACTTTAAAAAGTATCTAATATGACTTTTACTTCAGTAACGTAGCCATTTGGGCCATTAATCTACAAAGAGCAATTGCACGTCACTTTTGTACCTGTGGATCTTCTAAATTCAGTACAACTCCTCGCGTGTGTTAGGCTTGTCTTTGAAATGATGCATGTCACTGGGTATACAGAGAGTTAAGAGAAACTGACATAAAATCACATGAAATTTGATGTGTTTACTACATGAGTTAGTTTACTTTGTCTGCTTATCTAACTTCCATATAGCAGATCTGGAGTAATCAATACACTGTTGCTTATTAAGATAAAGCAAAGAAATGCAAAGGAATCTAGCTGACACTTCAACTCGCAGCACAGCAGGTACCATCCGTTCTTTTATGCTTTACAGTTCATACCTCATTATGCTTATATACATAACAGTTAAGTAATTTTGTTTACATAGTTATAATGTACATTGTGTATCCTTTTACTATTTGTATAGTATTATTATTTGAATTTTAATTTCAGGTTGTCTGCCTGTACCTCTATTCAACCAGAAAAAACGAAAGAGAGAGCCCCTCACTTCAAATCCACCTAAAAATGAGCCAAGTACCAGTTCTGGGGCTTGTACTTATGACTTTTCTCCCACACCATTTGGTAAATACGTTTGTTTTTTTTTTTTTTAATGGCTCTAAATCCAATTAAATGTTACCATTATGATGGTATTTTATTAAACTAGACATTGTCTTTATCAAGAACTATATACATCCTTTATGTTTATTTCTGAAAAGTTCATTATGTAAAAAACGTCCTCCAGGAAATTTCTTTCTTCTCTATACAATTGAGCTTTTTATACTTTGTGCCTAAAGGGAGTTTGACTCTTTGTGTGTTAGAGAATGAAGTAGCACTGGCATTTAAATAGAGTCTCTCGAAACTCTGACCTTTTGTTTTCAGTTGATTTCAATCAACATTCAAGTCCTGTGTTACAAGAAGAAACATTTATAAGATGTCTTTCTTATAATTCAGAAGAGAGCTTCTGTTCTTCAAATTGTCCTTGGAAAGAATGATGCAGAATTCTGCCTTTAGTACTTTCATTATATCTTACTTATAATAAAGTTAAAAAGTTTACTTAAAGTAAAAGTCTCTGTGCCAATAAGCCTAATGTAAGTCAACCGCTTCTAGAGAAGCAACCTACTTGTTAGAAGTTGCCTTATAATTAAAGATATCAAAGGATCACGTTCCCTTTTTTTTTTTCCTCAGTCCTTCCCGTATGAGACTATTTGTGGAACATTAGGCAGATAAAGAGTAGGAGTGCTAAGTAGATCTATTACCTTTCAATCTTTCCAGATTGTATCCATATTCAATCTTTTATCTTTTGAGAATTAGGCTGGGGAACTGCGAACCCAGAAGTGGCTGAAATACAGAAAGCTGCAAACTATGGGTATGTAAAAGCAGGTTATTTGTTGTTTATTGATTTATATTGGGGTACTATCTGATTGTTTCACAAACTATGATCCATGTGTCTGTCTTACAATAAAGCTGCTACTATGTCACTGATACTTTAAACTTATTTTTGAAAGACAAACAGAACATCAGATGGCTCGTTCCCTTAGGAAACCACCAAATGCATCAAATTCTAATTTAGCAAATGCTGGAAGAAACTTGTATGCCTGCAGGTTGATGAAGTCTTTATTGTCCTTCCTTAACCAAAATTATTCTCATGTGAAAATATATTTTAAGTTTTCCATAATCTTGTAGCATTCAGAGAGACCCTTTTAATACTCAGATCATCACTGATCACAATTCCCTTGTGCTTATGAGCCAAAACCCACTGAAATGTGGGTTTTCAAGTGTACCTAATGAGGCCTATTAATTAGACCTGATATCTAGCCTTATCAGGCCTAAAATTCAGTCTTGCCACAAAAGTTGATTTAATTTTGCTGGTCTTAGATGTAATTTTTTGAGATTCTCATTTACTTGAAGTTTTGCCCACTTTCAAAGCAAATTTATCCAAATAAGTTTCTATCAGTGTACATTAGGGCAATTGTATATCGAAATATTGACTCAAAACTGAATATAATTGTGGACTCTGTGCTTTTATACACCAAGGAAAAGCTTACAGATTTAGACACCTAGAGAGGAAAACTTCCATCAGTGTTGTAATTGTCCTTTTTCTCCTTTCCCTTCCTCCTGTTCCTTTCCAATGGCAAAAATGAGTGAATGTTTCAGACGAGTGCCTTCAAAGGCAAAAAAGAATGGAGGTGGAAGGAATTTCTGAGCTGCCTTTATAAAATGAAGGGTGTTAGAAATAGTAAGGTCAGCACGAGAGTGTTGTAAAATGATTTCTTCAGTGACGGTGGTAGAAGCATTCAGAAATATCACTGTCAGAAGAAACTTTGCTTATTTTATTTTAGAGTTATGGAAAAGATCTTAGGAAGGATCCCTTACACAGGGCAGGACATTAATTAAGCAAGCTTTTAAAGGCCTATGGAATGTAGCTGGATTTAAGCACATGTGTGATCACTGCCCAGTCTATGGATAAATTTAAGTGTATACTCAAGTGCTTTGAGTGTGAATATTTAACAGATATTTTTAGAGCTAAAACAACAAGATTGCTTCTCTATGCTTTAATTACATATCTGAGTATTCAGAATAGATATGGTAATACTGAAATATGTCCTCTGTTGTACTGCAGGGCAGAAGAGAAGACTCCCAGTACTAAAGCTTGGAACAGAAAAGAGTATACTCCTTTAAGTAACACAACAGATTCAAGATCTGGAATTATTCAAAAGTTCAAGAGCCCTTCAAATAGTTTGAAAACTATCCAGCAGCAAAAAACCCCTGATAACCGTAATTCACCTCAGCATATCAAAACAACAGCAACCAGCCAAACATTTACACCTAAAGCACAATGGCCAGTGAAAGCTAACATTGTTTCAAAAAGTCTGCAGGATCATAGTCTGGCATACAAGTTTAACCACGATATTCAGAAAAATAAAATGAACAAAAAACAAGTTGATTGCGTTCCAGAAGACAAAAGCCAGGTAAACTTACAGAGAGAGTTAGTAGGAAGATACAATGAAGAAAACAGTAAAGAAGCAGAATATTGTGGAAAGATGAGGCTTTCATCAGTCCTGGCTGCCTTAGTAAACCGTTAAGTTTCTGAAGATGTAGAAATGAGATTTTCATACTATAATAACCTACAATCCTCAGCATGATCATGTAAATTGTCAGGGAGTTGTTTGTATAGTCTGAACAAATACTCTAATTTTAATGTAAATATTGGGTAGTTAATATATAAATGTCTGTGCCTTTTAAAATTGTGTGAGTGTGTATCTCTAACTTGAGTTTTCATCTTCCTCTGAAAGGAAGTTTCATCACCTCAATTAAAACTTAAAGAAAAAAGGAATTCTTTGCGAATCATATCTGCAGTCATTGAAAGTGTGAGGCACTGGAGTCAATATGCGTGTAAAACTCCACTATTATTTGAAGTTTTAGGTAAGCAGGATAGTTTGCGCTGTAACTGATAATAATGGTAGGACAACAGCCAAGAGAAAATGTTATTAACTCTAGGAACAATATACTGAAATACTTAAAACCACAAAATACTGGCATGAGCAGTATCGAGTTTTCCTGCTGGGAGATCCATTCAGCTATCAGATATGACTAAAGTAGGTACAAAATGAATAATACAGTTCTTCACCAATATTTAAGCTCTTTCTGTCCTGTTTCTTTTATTTCCTTGTTTTTTATAATGTGTTAATATTTTCTTCCTATTTAACACAAAACTTCTATAGGGAGGTACAGTTTTACAGTAATTTTTAATGCAATTAATCTGGGAATAAATTCAAGTCTGGAGTTCTTCTAAACATAGATGACTTTTAGTGTGTTTCACTTTGTGTTTTAATTGATGCTATCTGAGAAATTAACACAACAAAAGACTGAAATAATTTAACTTTAAATCAAGGTGAATAAGAATATACAGTGGCATCTCAGAACACTATTCTGACAAGGTTGCAAATATTTGATTTGCATATGAATGTCAATAAAACTTAGAGAATTGTGTCATGCTCTGCTTAACAAGGGAATAACCTGTTTACAGTGACAGTTATGGAAACCACATTTGGTCACTCAGTTTAGAGAGACATCATATACAATTTCACTGTTCAAAGACTATGTAAAGCCCAGAATTTATATTCGAACTTCCAGTGCTGTCAGCATAAGTTCTCACAGAAAGCTGATGGTGATTTGATGTATCTTAGTGCTCCTGTGTAGTAAATGTTGTCTTGGTATCTTTGTAGATCATACTTTGTACTGCTCTGGTGTTTTATTCATTGTGATTTATTTTTGCTAAATGGTATAGGCACACTTGATTCTGCAGTGACACCTGGAGCATATGGGGCAAAGAACTTTCTTCTGAGAGATGGAAGGGAGATTCTGCCTTGTGTATTTTATGAAATTGTAAGTATTGCTGTGTACATACATAACACTGACACCACTAGCTATAATCCCTTTTACGAAGCTAATAATATGTTCTGATAAGACAGAAAATTACTGTGCCAAAAGCAAAGCTCTATGCTTGTACGATATTGTTCCCAAGCTGGTCTAGAGCAATAATTCAGTCACTCTTTAGGCATCCTCAGACTTCAGTTTCAGCAAAAGAGGTGGGACTTTCAGTTCCTCTTCTAAGTAGTTGATAATAGCAAAAAAGCTGATGTAAATTCCTTCTCTATTTGATGTAGTCTTCAGAAATCCATTAATAACTAATAAGCAGATATTTTGAAAGCTTTTATGTTAGGTGATATAATTTTTTATTTTTTTATTATGCTTTTGATGAAGGACCGGGAGCTTCCAAGACTAATTAGAGGTCGAGTGCACAGGTGCATGGGAAACTATGACGCAAAAAGGAACATCTTCAAGTGTGTCTCTGTAAGACCAGCAACTATTCAAGAACAAAACACTTTCAAAGAATTTGTTAAAATTGCAGATGCTGAGATGACAGCATATGTAAAAGCCATGAATGAAATTTAAAACCATTGAAACGGTTGTCCAAAACTGATTTTCACTCATCATTACACAGAAAGGCTGGACATCCTAAAGCATTTACCAAATATATGATTAAATAATTGAAAATATCACTATGCTGTGTTATCCAACAAATGTTAGCAACAATGTTGTTTCCACCATTAATTTCCTAGTTTATCTTTCCTAGTTGTATATACAATAACAGGGTTTAGTTACTTAGTATAGATTTTACTGGAGAAATTCTGAATTAAAATGTTTAGGTTTTGCAGTAGCTCAAGTGTCTTAGAAAAAGATCATCGATACTAATTCAGATTGCCATTGCTTTTCATTATCTTCAATTTTTAGAAATTCCTTCAATACTTATTTCAAAACATTGACTATATAGTTCTTTTGAGGAGTATTTGGTCAAAGTTTAATAGCTAACAAATGTCAACAATGTTCTCTTTGGCTCTGCCTATTGCATTAATGCTGCTTTGGTAGAAAGTAAGAAGGTAGTCCTTACTCCAGTTCCAACTAACAGGTTCCCCTTGCTTTGCTGGATTACAAGAACACGTGTAAAATCTTTTCTAGAAATGAACATAATAGATACTACAGAAAGATTTCACAGGATGCAGCTGTATGTATCAGGTATTCATATGTTTCCTGTTGATATGTTATCTGATTCATGGTTTTTAAAAAATAAATAATCAGTATAACACCTGTATAAAATAGCAACAGACCCTGAAGCTGTAGGAAGATTGCTCAAGGACACAGAGGAAGTTGGAGAGAAATAATTATTTGCACACAGAACTTCCTCGCCTTTGCCACAGAAACGTCTTTCATGAGGGATGGACCATGTACATGTTTGTGGTTTTGCCTTCAAACATTAACTTTCATAGATTATTCCTTGCTGTTTCTATTTCCTTTTCCCCTTAGCTAGTTCCCCTACTTCAAAAGCTTTGTATCACATCTGTTGGGAATTGTAAAACAAGAGATGTCAAGAAAATAGTGAACAGTGTATTCTTTTTTAAAATTTTATTATACAGTGTTGGCAATTGGAAATTTCACATTTAAAATAATTGAAATATTGTATCCAACAAGTCAAATACAGAAAACAGTTAATATTCTAAAAAGGAGCCAGCTATTCAACGCAGAAACACATTAATGGAAAATACAGCTTTTAGTTACACTTAAAAAATTATATATTTAGAATAAAACTTGAACCTGGTCCAGTAAATTGTTTGACTTGAACAGGAAAACGCTTTTACAGAGTTTAACGCGCAGACAATCTTTATTTTAAAAAGTGATCTGTCAGTGTTAGCACGTGTATGGTTAGCAACACCCTCCTTAATGTTCCAGTTAAGGATTTAAAGTATGTGTTTTACTAACTGTTGTAAGAATTGCTTGCATTATCATCTCTACCTTCTGTGCTAAGGTGGTTCTGAGCGTTGATGTATCAAGGAGAGTTTTGTCTATCCAGTTGTAGAGGTCATATACATATATTTGATTTCCTTTATATATTATAAAATATTAAAGGAAGTTCCAAATGGAAGAATTAGCTTAACTCATAAAAGGTGCATAATATTATAGGACGTAGAGTTTAACGATGTTCACAACAGAAGCTGAGTTTTAAGAAGTAAAGGATTTGGTACAGCAGTGCTCTAAATTGTAAGACTCCACTGTAACAGTAATTTAAAACTGCAAAGGAAGCTTGAACTATGGGACCAGACCTGCAAGCATCTGTGCGTGTAATCATCACACAAATGTTGTAGTCCCACTGATTTCAGTTGAATGATTGATGGTTCCAGTTCTGCACATGTGAAAGCTATGTTAATAAGTAATGACAGGAACAGGTCATTTGCTGTATGTTATGGCTGTTAACGAAATGCTAAAAAAATGTTACTTTCAGTAAGTGTTTAGATCTTTGCAAAAAGTTTTCTAGTTTACACTAACAAATCACTTTTTCTAGTGAAACATTAAGTGAACAGTCGTAAACATTACACAAAACAGAAAAAACCCTAGGTAATACAGTTTATACACACTACTCAACATTTCTCCTTTGTTGGTGGTTTTTTTTTTTAACCATATTGATCCTGTCTTGTATAATGGTTCTAGTGTAAAGGCACAGGTTGGTTAGGAAAGAAAAGCCTGCATCTCTGTCTCTCTACTTCATGGTGATGATTTTCTTTTTACATGTTGTTTGTTATTCCTCACTTTTCTGACTCTTATGAAAATTATCATTTTCAGCCATTCATTTAAAAAAGTGTAAGACATTACTGAAAAGTACATTACTACACGGAAGTGACTGAAATTTATTCTTCTTAATTTAGAGGCATTCCTTCAACCTATTTTGTTAAATATTTGGAAGATTTAATTCCTCAGTCACTGTGATCAAAAACACGCATAGCATGCACTCTCCCTCTCTTTCTCAGTTTACTTAATTCTACATGGAAATCTCTATTTTCAAAGATTAGTGATGGAACTTGCTAAGTTTATGTCCAGAATTTGCTTTTAGAGTACATGAAAATGTAACAACAGACAATTATTTTGGAAAACAATGCAATGTTCCATTGAAGTTTAGAAGGGTGAGGAATGTAAACAAGACTGCAGAAGTCATTGACGTGTACTCAAATAACACAGTGATTGTTCTATCTGTTTGTGTTTTCTTATACATCCTCAACATGTCTCTGTCCCTTCATGTACATTTTCCATTAAAAAAGAAAAAAAAAAAGAAATTCAGGAATCAGTTGGACTCAGATAAGTGAAGAATAATAAATTTGATCACTTGGTTTGTGCCAAAATACAAAACTAAGAAGTACGGCTCTGAATTAAATATAATCTACGTGATTATTTATTTTTAAATAAATAATAGAAAATAAAAGATGAGAATAGAATTCTAATTCCATTTTTATTTTAAATGAAAAACATAACAGTGGAGTGAGATTAGAACCCAATGTTTCTTTTGCTTAAGGCAATCAAGTGCACTTACTTCAATGCTTGATAGTAATGAATTTGGTGCTGTTGTGGAAATCAGACTTCACAAATTTCACATACAAACTCATGAAATATGGCCATTTGCTAATTCTGACACAGCATCAGATTCTTAGTCGTGTCCAGTAGCATTTCACTTCACTTTTTATTTTTTCAATAATGGGCTTTTAATAATCATGGAAATATCAGAATCTAGTTCATTCTGGCTTGTATTATCACTACATACAAAGGCCATCGGGCACATAACATTTTTGTAAATAGAGATTTTTCTTTTTGGTCTTAAAAAACAAACAGCAAAACCCAAAATCTACAGTTGTAATAGTTCAAATAATTTTGTAAAAGTCCACCTAAAATTATAACTTAAGAAATACCAAAAACAAATTCTTAGCATTTTTTTTTCCTGCGGTTAAACTATTAAATCATCATGAAGACTTTGGAAGTGGTTAGAGCAATCTGTCTGTGAAAAAAGTAATTTAAGTCTTATGCAAGTCTTCATGAAGATGACTGTAAATCTTGAAGACTAGATCAGTATTAAAAAGGGTGCCGACAATTTACAATATGCAGTTACTATGAACAGATACAGATTAAGAAGAAACATTTTCTTTTATAGAATTATTTTTAGATATCAAGCTTAATTTTAGGCCGTAGCTACTAGTAGGTGCTTTTACAGTAACCAAAATAATTGTAACAGAATATCATTATTGATTTTAAAACTATTGGGTTCATAAAAGTTTTGACATTTAATAATCTATAAAAAGTGAATTGAAGCTTTTAAAAGATGATTTTGAGACACAAAAGAAACTGGGAGGTAGACAGATGTTTTGAGGATAAACAGATTTTTTTTGTCTAAGGCATTATGCCACTAGATGTTTAGAGCAGTATACAGGCTGCTGATTAATCTTATTCCAATTCCAGAGTGTTTGCTGCTCATACTTACGGAAGACTATCAATGCACTTTTGGTCTTTGTGAATCTGACCTTCTCTTCCCCATCTCCTTTTTTCTCTTTAGCAATACAGCTAAATGGAAGTGCTATAATAATTTCTGCCTGTAGACAGGAATGTTCTGTTCTTAAACAGTAATAAAATACTATAAAATAGTAGGTATTGGAGTTGGAGATATGTGCTCTTTTGGTGCATATTTTGCAAAGAATGGTAAAAAGACCGACAACATGACCCCAACAATTGCCAGCATATACCCCCATCCAATCTGGCAGTCTCCTGCATAGTAGATGTCTGAATTCTCACAGAATCTCTTCACAGTAGCAGAGTTGAAACCAAAAGGGTAAACCAAAAGCCCAGAAGCCATTATGAACACTAGAGAGGAGAAAAAAAACAAACCATGAATTATTATTGAACACTTAATTCCTTTGAAAAAAATCCTTCTTTTAGAAAGGCAAATATATGTTATACTAAAATCAATGGAAAAAGTCATAGCTTAAAAAAACCCTTATGATTGGCAGGTTATCTTCCTTTTCATAACTACCTTTTATGGACAGCAGTGTCATAACATGACAGCAAGTTGGCATTGGGATTTTTTTCAAGAGGACTCTTGCCCATTACATAACTTCAGAAACGTTGTAATCCAAATTATGTAGCCATTTAAAAAATAAGATGATTCAGACATAATGGAATCCAGAGGAGAATTCCTACACTTGCAGATTCCAAACCAGCTTGATTTTCTTCTCAATAGCATTTTTGTACTCGAAACAAACAACTGCTTTGTTCTACCAAACAAAAACTTTAAATGAAAGAGTTTAAATGTAGTTTTTCAGATTCTGCTGATCAAGTTCTGATAATGTAAGCACTTTCTCATTGTTCTCAGTATTACAAAGTCAAATTCTTTAAAAAATTGTGCATTTGATCCAAAGATTGTGAGATAAAAAACAATTCAACCAGCTGTCTTTTTATTTTGCTTTTAGCGTTGGAATCTTTCAGTATATTTTTTGGAATTTTCTCTGTAAATTTAAGGATTAGAAAAATTATTGACCTGAAGTTGAAACCTAAAATTCCTATATTACCTAATTTTGAAAGCTTGG